TATGTGTGTGTGTGTGTGGGTGTGTGTATGTATGTATAGGGTGTGTATGTATAGGGTGTTATTAAAAGTGTTATTTAAGGAGTAGACTTCATGCGTAAATGTTTGACCAGAATCTAAAATATTGTGAGAATTTCATACAAAGCATTGTACAGCAAAATTGTTTGATGTACTAAATAAGTGCCGCATGTTTCCTGTTTTTTATGAACAGGGTTCGATTACTACTTAGGTATTCCTTACAGTAATGACATGGGCTGCACTGACAAACCAGGATACGATCGACCCCCGTGTTTACCTTGTGTTTCATCAGAACCTCAAGTAATCAGGTATGGTCCATTTTTTCTACTTAGCGTCAATATTTGTATTTCATTCTTATGTTAAGTAGAAGTATTAGTCATTTTACAGCGTATTGGTTTAAATGCACACTAATATTAAAAGGTTTTTGTGTTTTGTTTAGTTTTTGTGAAGAAAAAAAACATTGTAACCATAGAGATTTGGGACACGTCATCTTTAATCTGTTAACTTCAATTTCCTATCATGTCACAGTGCTGAATTTGCAAACCCTCACAGTTGGCTGTGTTTTCATGTCCTAGACAGAGAAGGAGTGGGCATGGTGGCTGTTATTCCAAGGTGGCCCTTCCTCTGGTTGAAAACGGCTCTATTTTGGAGCAGCCGCTTGACCTTTGGGCGCTCACAGAGAAGTACAAATCTGCTGCACTCAGGATAATACGCAGTGCAAGGTACAACACAGCTGTGAACGGTAAACTCATAGATCAAGCTGTTAATCTCAGTTAGGCAAAATTTTGAATAATGGATCACATCCATTTTCTGTTTTTGTGTGGGACATTGTTATTGATCAGAACAGATAAACTCTAAACAAAACTGATTAAAATTGTTTTGCTTTATAGTTTATATATCCTCGAGGGAGGCCATGTTTCACCTTTGTTTTTTATTAGAGCACATCAATCATGTTTTTTTCCCCAGTGGGCCAAGGGAGGTTCTGTAATTTTGAAAGAGAATTTAGGTTTGTACTTTTCCAAAGGTGAAACATAATTCTTATTGCAAGCTGTAAAGTAAGAACCCAAAGTAGCTGTATTTTTCCTAGATTTATTACTTTAATCAGAGCATGAGCCTTTAGGGAAAACCAAGGCTTATGTTCTAACTGTATCCCGGATATAATTTTGTAAATCCTGAATAATCCCAGTCAAACCAGATTAACTTTTTTACATTCAAATAATAAGAATAAGAAAAATGGGTTATATTCACTTCAATTCTCCTATGCAAAAATAATTTCTTATCAAAATAATTTGATCTCAGTATAATGTACAATGCTTTTCCATTTATTAGTGTGAAAATGTTTTTACCAACCATTTTGTGGAAATACAGTTAGTTCACATGATCCAATAACATGTCTTTTATGTGTTTCTCTTATTCATAAAGCCTGCATCTGCTGAGACCAGGGCTGTTTTATGTATACTTTGAGTGGAGAAAGTTTCTTCATGAGACCAAAGGAACTTCCAGCTGTTAGTCACATTACCTATATAAGAATGAATGAATGAATATTTCAGAAAATTTTTGACAAACAACAATTCAAGAAAATAAACGAATCAACAAAATTCACTCTCTGTGGGCGAGGTCGCCGAGGTGGTTAAAAAGCTCCTCGGTGGCAGGGCCCCGGGGGTGGATGAGATCCGCCCGGAGTTCCTCAAGGTCCTGGATGTTGTGGGGTTGTGTTGGCTGACACGACTCTTCAACATTGCATGGACATCGGGGGCAGTCCCCCTGGATTGGCAGACTAGGGTGGTGGTCCCCCTATTCAAAAAGGGGGGCCGGAGGGTGTGCTCCAATTACAGGGGAGTCACAATCCACGGCAAGGTCT